GATTACCCTCCTACTAACCACTAGTGACATGTCCGTATTACAGATTGGAGAAGATAGTAAGGATATTGCATCTACCTTGAAATTAATTAAATAATGCACTAAAGGAAGCCCAGCAGCAAAGTCTGATTTATTCTGGAAACATCCTAGGGTATTTAGACAATAATAGGTGAAAATGCTCTGCTCAGTTGAGACAAGCATCAGAGACAACCTCACTTTGGAATTAGTCTCTCATGAAAAGACAGAGAGAGCTTACATTTTATGTAATTATTAAAATCCATTTGTAAAGGATAGAGTCTAGTCCACCGATACAGATTCTCCAAGAATGAGATGACCATGCAAATACAACAAAAAGCAACCTTCCAGGAATGGAATAAAATGTTTGTCTGGACATCTCTTTACCAATGCAAGCCCCAAAGGAAAGAACAAGCAAATCTGTGCCACCTTAGTGCAAGGAGACAAGAATGCCGACTCAGGATAACTCCCTGCAGCTCATCAGGTGTTTGAACTAAACATTTGCAAAGGAAGTTTTGATTTTCATTACTAAAAATAAACTCCAGCCTCTATGTGAGGCTTATTTTGTAGTCTTCCATAATGTCTTTTCTGCACTATTTTCGGGGAATTTTATGAGCTAACAACCTTTAAGGAAGTTTTGTTAAACTCTCAGGAAATAAAGGCACAGATCAGAAATTTCACAACCTTCTGAAAGTGTGGTTTATGCTCACTTTTTTATTTGTGGAAATTGAAAATAAGTAACTTTTTTTCTCATCTAACTTAAATTGAAATATGGCTCTCCTATTTAAAACAAAAATAGCCTCACACAAGTATCAGTTACTAAGTATCACATCACTGAAGGCAAGGGAGTCCAGCCCAGTGTCACCATAGAAGTGGTTTAGGTTTTGTTTGTTTTGCATGCAGATGAGGTCAAAAATACCTTCCCATAGGCACCCTCTGTTCCCTGAACTTAAAAACCATCAATTCAGGAGTCCAACTGTCAGCAAAAGGCACCCTAAATCAGCAGACCAAATTCACTATCCCCCCTCAGCCTTCATACACCGCTAGACTGTACCGGCCTTGCTGTGCTGCAGCCCTTCACCTCAAATTAATTTCTTCCAGTGCTCTGGCTTCACTAGTCTGCCTCTTTTTACAAGATCTAAAGTACATCTTCAGACCTAAAGAAGAAGCTAAATTAATCTGTGCAAGTTACCCTCAGACCTTCTCGAGTGAGTGAGTGAGTGAGTGAGTGAGTAAATGAGTGATTGAGCATCCGAGCACTATGCAGCTGTATTAGCACAAACGGGACATGAAATGCCTGTGTGCGTGGCTAGCACAGGCCTGGGGCGTGAGCCCTGGGGATGTGCTGCCCACAGGAGTTTGAAAGAAAAATTATTCCCACTCTCCTTTTGAGTTGGTTTGGGATTTTTTACTATTTATAATTTGCTAGAGTTTAAAAATAAGCCTGTCCTCATTGCTCCTTAGGGCCTGACTCAGTACCAACATCACTGACAGAGAAGGCCATACTTAGAGGTACTTGTCATCTTGGGGAGGAAAATCACCGGGCAAAACCAGAAGTGCCAGTGCTAGCCAGGAGGTGGCAGAGAAGCCAGGCTACCTTTTGCACCAGTTACTGCAGTTAATTTGGCAAAAACACAAATAGAAACCGAGGAAAGACAACAAAACCCAGCCCCCACCCTCCATCTTCAGGAATAAGAGGATGAAACCCTTAATCACATTGCTGCTTGTATTTATACTAATTGCTCATCTTCCTGAGATCTGACTTTATGAAATTATGCATGCACACCAAGCAGATGAGTTTCCATAGAAACTCATGAGATGAACTTTCATTAGAAAAATCTCGTTTTTAAAAAAAAATCTTCCAGATAAAAATGCAAATTGCCTGTCAGTGGGTGGCTTTCTGAATTTATATATAATTTTTTTTTCTTTTGCACTGTAGGCAGATTCCAACTGGACCTACATAGCAACAACATGCAGGCATTGTTTAGAGCAAGCCAGACTCCATGGGGAAATAAGAAATTCAGTAGCAAGGAGAAGCTCTCAAGTGCAAATACCTCAGGGAAACAGAAACTCAAGTGCTCGGTGCTGCTTCTTCCTAAGGCTTGGGGTTTGTGCAGCCTCCAGCTCTCAGAAAATGCTTGTGGTTTGCAAGGGGAAGAGGAGAGAGAGGAAACCCAAAGCAAGAAACTCTCCTGCACACAGAATTAATGATGTTCAACCTGTCCTTAAAACATCCAGCAGCATATTTCTGCCGCTTCAGTTAAGCCTCACTGAAAAGGCTGACACCATCTGTCACAGCTCACTCTGGGGCAAAGAAATAGGTCTGTGTGCTGGGGCTTGGGAATATTGGCAAGGATGGGGATTGCAGAGTGGGTTGGCCAAACCCTGACCTCCACCTGGGGTGAGGCCTGAAGCGCAGCATCATGTGCCCACACATGGAAATCCAGGCAAGTGTGCAAGAAGAGGGCATAGGGGCTGTTCCTGATCAGAAAAGGGAAGCAGGATGGTGGGCATGCCTTGGAAGGGCCATGGACCTGGGCAGCCTTTGGTACCAACAGCCATGCATGTAAGAAAAGAGGAGGCAGGAAATCTTAAACTTGTTTAACAAATATTTCCTGTGTTTCTCTTCAGAACCATACAGCAGTTTTTTGCTCATGCAGTATACTGCAGCATCAACAGGAGGCCTTCCCCTGGCTTTGAAGAGCCTGGAGTTGCCCTTTTTGAGTTCACAGATCTTTTTTCAGCTAAAGTGGCAAATTTGAAAGCACTGAATACCTATGAGCAAATGTTCACATGTGCTGCACTTACTGGTGGGTGTCAACTTCAGCATCTCCCCCAGTACCTGGGTTTGCATACAGCCTCCTCCAGTGCTGCAGAACAGCTGCAGGGACTTCAAGCCTAGGCAGAGTAAACACCAGGAAGCCAGGCCAGTCTTTGGTTCTTGACCAGCAAGGGTGCTGGGGAGCACAAGGGAGCTGTGCTGCACGAGCAGTTTACGATGAGGTGGATTTCACTGCAGCATTGTTGAGAGGCGCGAGATGTCAACCAGGGAGGGAATTCAACCAGGGAGGGAATTCTCCTCCTCGTTGGAGAGGGTTGACAGGCAGCAGCTGCACAGGCTCACTGGCCTCTGTGCCTCCAGGGCCAGCAGCCTCTGAGAGCACTGAGAAGCTGGATGCTGCTTATTGTCAGGGCGAGGACAGCGATGGGTCCCCGGCCACCAGAGAGCACAACCGGCTCTGCTCGGTCAGTGCAACAAGAAGAGTTTTTAGAAAGAGTGAGTTTGTGGTTGAGGACAAACTTGAGCTGAGATAACTCCTGTCTATTCTTGGCTCAGCAGCAGATTTGCTATGGCCACACTACTTGCCCTTTCTATGCCTCATTATCCCTGTCAAGCGGGTGACTCAAATTATAATTGCACAAATTCCTTCCAGTCTGTCGTTACGTGCCTGCAGTCATCTCCAGGCAGCTACCTCCAGGGGAACCAGCCTCTCCCACCAGGGTACCTCTGTGCCATGTGTGCCTACTCCCAAGGCAATGGTAAGATTAGACCCCGTTGCCTTGTTGTTTTCCTACACAGAGAGAAACTTAAAGAAAAAACACCCCCACTGCATCTCTAAATTATCAGATATGATTCTGAGTTGATTATTCAGGTCAAGGTTATGGGCAAGAAGGAGGCACTGAAACTTTTCATAGCCCCACCAGTACTTGATTAAATGAGTGTTTCTTAATTTTTGTCTCAGGCAAATTAATGTGTTTCTGTAGGTATTAATACTATCACTGGTCTTAAGGTCTTAGTCATGCTGATGCACACTGTGTCTTGGTACTTTTGGAAAATCAAAGAAAACAGGAAAGGAAAAAAATCTTAACTATTTCCAAAAGCGTCACCATTCTTTCATCAGAAATTTATTTGGGTTCTAGTTGCAAGAGATTTCAGGTTTCTTACATCTTTTCATGTGAACTAAAAGCAATTAGGCACATTAAAGATTAAGCTAATGACTTTCTTTATAAATATATGCATCCACCAACTGTGTTTTCCCAGGCAAAGCATGAAGTGAGGTAATCATCCCACTTTCCAGCATTTCCATGGGTGAGTGCAGGGAGAGGCCATGCAGAGCTTGGCAGGCAACATGGCAGTGTTGGCTGCTTCTTCCAGAGGCCACCCCTGGGTGAAGCTGGTGGGAGGTTCATCCTGCTGTGTGCACCGTCAGGAGGAAGCAGAGAAGTGCCACTAATGCGTTGTGGCCTGCAAAGCCCTCATGACCTGTCGGGGCTCAGTGTGGTTGACTGCTGTATAATTAACATGGAGTCTGGCTCATTAGGTGCTTTGTGGGTTCAGATCCACATCCATGAGAGCCCTATAGGAAAACATGTTCTTCCTAACACTTCTTTCATCCTCCCCCTCCTGTTCCTTCCAGATGGTTACACCCACTTGTGTCTTTTCTTACCCTAAGGACAGCTTTTTAAACAAGGTTCCTGCATCCTTCTCCTCCCCCACACTGCTTTAGGATCTGCATTGGAGTGCAGGAGGACAGAGCTTACATTCCATGCTGTTACATACAGCCTGCCCACAGAAGACTGGAAGGGGACCACATCCCTCTGCCCCCTATTTGTTAAGAAGAAGGATCTTTCTATATGCTTGAGATGTAGGAGATGAGAGACTTTACCTCAGCCTCAGCTGGATGTTCCAGATGTGCAAGTTATGGGGTGTAATTGAACCTCTGTTTTCTGGGCAAGGAGAGAGGGATACTTAAAGGGCCTGTAACCTTTCTTCTGTATAGCACCAGTATACGCTCTCCCAGTAACACACAGCAGGAGCACTTGCTGGATCAGTGTCTGCTTAAAAAAAAATTACTTTCACAATTATTATTTTAAATAACCCCTCCATAGGACTCATACGGCACCTCAGCTTTGCGGCAGCTGGGGGTGCTCCATTTCCTCCTCTGTTTTGTGCTGTTGTTAACTGTTCATCACTTGTTTGTTGACAGGGCCTGGTGCTGAGCAGACTTGGGCGGAGGGAACTGGCCCAGAAAGTCCTCAGAGATGCCATCCGTATCCAGACCACCAGCCACATTGCCTGGAACAGCCTTGGAGAGGTCTTGCAAGCTCAGGGGAAAAACGAAGCAGCCATCGAGTGCTTCCTTACTGCACTGGACCTTGAATCCACCAGTCCTGTCATTCCATTCACTGTCATACCCAGGGAGCTCTGAAGCTTTTCCCTGCAGCTAAGCACCTTCGTTCCCTGGACAGACACCAAAACCAAATAAATAAACAAAGAAAAAGCCCAACAGAAAAGTGCCATTGTAACCTGGAACTGGGACATGTAATTCCAGGATGGGGCTCAGGTCTACATGCTTAGCTGAGACAAGCTGAACTGTAGAAGAATTTGCAACACGCAGAAATAGAGAATGCCTTTTTCTTCACAGGTGCCTGGCTAACCTCCTGTTAAAGTTAGTATCAAGGCTTATTTCAAAGTGTTGGTTTAAGGTGACTGTAGAAAGATCATGCCAGGGTACAGCTGTTCAAAGCACTTGCACCTTCAGTGTTCATTAAAGATAAAACCCCAAGCCCTGAATTAAAGCCCAGACCTGCTCTAAACAGGAGTAAATGCACCAACTAATTTGACCAAGTTGTGCTTAAACATGTGGCTGCCTCCCCACAGATCTGACAGGACAAGAATGACAATTGCACCAAATAGACATGTAGTATATGCTGTTCACAAAATTATTTCAGCTATTTTGATAATCCTTTTTCCTGCCTTGCTTTTATATACTGCATATGCTCACTGTATTTAGTGTAGCACTTGCCTAGACCAATTTAAATTAAAAATACTTATTTTTTAGAAAAGCTAATATTGCAGTATAATTCACAAAAGCAGAAAGACCAAAGACCAAATCAGTTCACACTTGAACTAGTATTAAAAGCATATATGTATCTTCACTTACATATTTATTGAAAGGCTTTACATGAAGTAGCTAACTCTAAGCTTCATTCTTATTAATCACCTCTTGCATCACTTTTAGTGAGGAATATAGTGTTTACCATTATATAGTGACTGAACTCTGCACTCTACTGCATTACCATTCCTGACACAAAACATTTTCATATCCATCTTTTCATGATACAAAAGATACCAGCAGTCTCTTAAGGGAAAGTATGCTGAAGGCAGTGTGTGTATATATGAATTACTTCTTTCTTGAAACTAAATCTTTGGATTGTCCTCAGAAATTTCACATGAGAGGTATGGAGTTGAGCCTTCAGCGGAGCAGGATCAATTTGCGTATCGTATCAGATGTAAGAGTGAAGAGCTTCTAATCCGCACAGCCTCCCCATGGCTGGCACAGCCAGGGCAGGGGACACAGCTGGCAGTACCCCCTGCTAAGCTGCTCCTTAGCTCTGCTTGACCTCCCTGGGGCCTTGGCAGCACGGTGGAGCTGTACTGTGCTGTCACACAACCCATGGGAGCCAGCCCTGTCCAGACCAGTCCCAAGACAAAAATGATGCAGAAATTTGCTGCAGGCACTTTTCTACAAAAAAAAAAAATGTTGGGGCTTTGTGCCTATTTTTGTCCAAAGAAGATTTGTGACTATTTCATAAGTAAGTTTGCACTAAAACATACCTTGTACTATAATTCCTCCCAGTATTGTGATCCTTAACTAGTTCACTCTGGAAATAATAATATCCTTAGGCAATAAATGAATTGGTGTTATTTCTTAAAGAGCCTGAGGCTCTGGCAGCAGACTTGAAGTCAGCATTGTTTACAATTATTTGGAAATCTGCGGGGTAATGGAGAGTTAGGCCCTTGCAGTGCTCCCAGACCACACCATGGCAGAGCTCCTGCCCCCAGCCTTCCCTCAAGATGTGCTCACCAAGGGAATTACACTGTTCTCAGGTTTCTCTCAGCAGCCTGGTGCAATGCCAGGCCAATATTTTTACCTTTTCCCATTAAATCATCCTGGTGCAATAGCCCAGATTATTTATCTATTCACTGAGGGATTCCAGGTCTGATCTAGGCTGGTTTCAATCCAGGTGAAAGTAGCCCAGCCATGAAAAAGTGCTTGGCCCATGAGTTCTCTGGCTTTCCAGTACCACACAGGCACCAAAACTGACTTTTTTGGGCCAGAGGCAGGTTTCCAAGGAGACAGTGTTACCCGGACGCATGTCTTGTTTGCAATAGCACCAGCAGCAGAGGAAAGAGTAGGTGTTAAAGTACCAGAATTAAATGAGTTTCATGAAGACAAAAAGACACAGCCGAGGCCTATTTTGGTGTGAAGGATGCTATGAAGTCATCTTGCTCTGCACTGCAGTGGGAAAGAGGGAAGGGGGAGGGGTAGAGATGCTGCTGTTGGCATAATATGCAAATTGTTACCCAGGTGTTTTAAACCCAGTTCCACAGTCAGATGCAATCTGACAATACATTTATGTAGAGACAGATATAGATACATGTTATATTCTGGTATTTGTTCTGCTCCACAGTTTCCAGGGTGGAAGCAAACCTTTTGTGTAAGACACAAAAAAAGAGTCAGTGTGGTCCAACATCACCGATCCGTTGTGCAATGTATATTTGTAAAGCACTGCCATAGCAACTCCTGTGTACTGGACAGCTATTTGAGTACAAGCTACGCATCCATGACCAAGGAACTGCTTTAAGAGGTCTGTAACATAGCTGGTCTGTGACCTGGCAGGAGGGTGCCTGTTTCCCAGCAGCGGCTGAAAAGCAAACACTTATAGACCCATTTACTTCTGTATGTGTAGCTTGTAAACAGCCACCAGCCCATCGTGTTTGTTGCTATCTGGCAAACTTCATCCTGGCAATAATCAGACTTGCCACAGCAGTCATCTTCCTAGGAGAGGGGCAAACATTCATGAATACTTTGAGTGCGTCAACAACTCAGATGTTGCCAGCGTGGTCCCATCTTTCTCAAGTGCGTTAATGAGTGTTACTGGCATTGGAATTGCAGTCCTGAAAGCCTCTGCTCCAGGAAGATGTACATGACTAAAGGCCATCAGCATCAACAGGAATCACCATGGGTAAGGTACCCTTTACCAGCACACCACACCACAGCCCCTGCAGCACCTGCAGACAAAGTGCTTTGCATGCACACTGACCTTAATCCCGAGATTTGCTGTGTGCTTCCCAGGGGATACAGAATGCCTTTTGGCTGGAGGGGTGTTGTATTGGCCTGAAATACTCTGTACAGTGCAGGAAAGAAAGAGGTTGTTGCAGACTTATAAGTATTTTTGGGGTAAATCCTCTAGCTATCTTTGTTACTCATGCTCACCAAAACAGAAGCGTTCCCAAGCTTACATGCTACCTCTCTTATTCAGCATGGATTTTGCTCACACTTCCAGATACAGAAAAACAAAGACAACTATTTCAGACAAGCCTAGGTATTGTGATATTTATTTAGATAGTAACATTGATAAATCTGATAGAATTACTTATCTGAGCTCAATAATACTTGTGTGGTAGGAAACCTGGCATGTTTAATACTCAGGGTTTGAAATTTAAGAACACAAGATTTACATGCCATCCCTCATGATTATTACAGTTCGTAAGTAATGGAAGTTTGGGGAACAATAAGTTTGGGGAACCAATTCTCTGAGTTTTAGCACAGACTTGAATCCAACAGTTTTGTCATTCATTAGTTTTGAAAGAGGGAGATTAAAAAAAAAAACACATCGCTGCCTAAAGGATCAGGTTCCTCTTGTTCCACCACAAGGTTATTTTCCTTTTTGTTGGCAGGGTGCATACAAAAAGAAAAATAATTGCCTTCTATTTTCCTGTTGTGCAGTAAAGGAGTAGTATGTGCTGTTGCCTTTGGCCAATATTGTAAAAAAAATTAATCTGCCTCCAGGATAACAGAAGGAGAAGCCCAATAGGACAGGGAACAGCTCCCCTGTAAAGAGGAGCTTTACACTGTGTAAAGTGTCATTAGCTCCATTGAAGCAGTTGGTAGTTAGGAGCATTTCCTCCAGCTGAGGATCTGCCCACCCATGTATTCATTCCGTACAGGGAGTACAGCAGAGCTGCAAACTCCTGCGCCGCACAAGTACCCCAGTCCGTTTCTATTGGTAACAGTTCATGCTACTGATTATCACAATGCTTCAGAAGTGCTAATTATCTTTTCTTGGTAATGACTAATAAATCCAAATGGAGAACAGTCCTGGAGGGTGTTTCCTTTAAAATTCACTGGCTGGGTACCAAAGCAGGCACAGCACTGGCTGCTGCAGTTTGAATTACAGTTATTTTATCAAAAAAATGTTTCATTTTCAGAGAGTCTTGGTGAAGAATGAGTTTGGCTAGTTTATATATCGTTTTAATGACAGCAGAGTGGGAAATAATCCTTTTTAGTAAAAAGACATCACTACCATGATCCTTTTTCAGCCAAACCAACAGAGGTTTGATAGTTGCCGTTCAGCCTTGGAGAGGAAGGCTTCCCAAAGCAACCACACTGCAGCAGTAATTGCCTCTGAAGGAATTGTATTACAGGCATATTTGACAATTACGCAATGGGCATTTGTAGCTGAGACATCTTTCCCTCCTTTTTTGGCTAAGGGGAGCTACTTTATGCCCGAAGGGACAATTGCAGTGCCCGTCTGGGTGCCTCTCAGCACTGCCTTGGTGCCAACTTCACAGTCGTGTTCACCAACACCCCTTCACTCACACTGGTTTAATGATGCTCAGACTGTTCCCTAAGCCTGGCTCCGGGCAATGGCCTCCCTACTGCTCAAGTGTTGTTCAGTGCTGCAGGATGTCAGTGCGTAGTCAGATATTAAGTTATTTTCTTAGAAATGAGAAGCCGAGTCATCCGTCAGTTGGTGACATTGGCAGGAGGGCAGGTAAACACTGACTCAGCAGTTGCCAAGATGGTTCCTCCAACTTTGCCTTTAATGAACTTGCTTGTGCCTTCAGCACCAGCAAACCACGGCAGGTTCCCAAGTGACTGGAAACTAAAAGATCCAGCTGATTTTCCCACAGAAATACATGCCAGTCAGTAGCTAAAACCACTGATAGGGATGCAACACTGTGCCACTGCAGAGTGGCCCATGATGATACAAATAAGAACCTCCCTGAGCTGGTGCACAGAGAGGTGCTCAGCTTTTACACATAGAAAGCATGTCCTACACGCCACTCTAATATTGCTGACATGGGTGTCAGTGTCAGTTTTCCATGTCACTTAACTTTTTCTTGTCACTGTAAGATGCTTTCACCAGATGAATAAAATTGACCCTGTGGAAAACAAAAAACGCTGCTGATATTTCCTGCAAGTTTCAGGACTTTTAATACATTCATGCCATGGATACTTCGAGTATTATGAAATGTTCAGTTGTTATATTAACTGGAACCTAGTGTGCCTAGCAAGTTACCAGTTGCAAAGGGTATTTTGGCCTACACCCTGTAGTTCATGGGAAAAACGAGAGTGAGCATGCAAGCAGCGTGCTTTCAGAGAGGAACAGAGCCAGGAAAAAGGAGTAATGTAGCTTCAGATGTTTGGATTTATGGAGATTTAAGCAAGCATCATGCTTTTCTTGTGCTTCTTCCAGTAAAAATAAACAAAGGTAGTGTGAGAAACTGTAACATTGAGGTAACATGCAAATACTATGCCATCAAGTTTAGGGATTCACCTTATTTTGGTGGCAATGCCATTAATCATTTTTTTGCTACAAACAGTTACTCCTGTGGTTATTTGGAAATAAAATGTCTCCATTCAAGAGCTTCCAGAGCATTCTTTGCATTTACCCATTAATCTTTTAGGCAAGCTTCAAGAGGGCCTTCTTAAAAAGTCAGCCCCTTAGTTTCATACTTAAATGAGATTAAGGATGGGGTTTTTGAACAACATTTCTTCATAACTGTGGCTGCTTTGGTTTATGAGTGTATTCAGCATAACTCAAGCAGAACGAGGTTCGTCTGCAGCAGTAACAGAATTAAGTCCTTCAGCTGTTTGTACAGTCTTAAAATCGGAAATCCAAGCAAACAAAATACTTCCCTCTGGCTCTCCCCCTGCCTTTTTCTAACTTTTTCACAGAGAGGAAGTGAAACGCTGGTGTGGGAGATGGAGGGAGAAGGCTTCCATGGCCCCTCCAAGCAGGAGCCCAACTGGAGGCATGCACCTGAACCCCAGCAAAAGCTTGAGAATTTCATTGTTCAGTCAGTCCCCTCTGAGGGACACCACTCATCTTTGCTTCCATTCTAATGCTGGCACATTGTCTGTTATCCTCTCTGCATCACACAGACGTTTAATATTCCCTTTCTGTTTAAATAAGCCTTTTCACCCCTCATTTTTGCTGGAAGGAGCTCCACCTTTAATACAGAATCACTTCTTCCCTTGCCGAGAGCCAAGTGGTAATTTCGACATGAAACTCTTGAAAGGTCATTAAGAATAATTTAATAATTTTTAATAATTTATTCTATGTTTTATATAATTTAAAATAATTTATTCATACCTCCAGTTCTTTCTGCTGCAGAATGGGTAAAACTAACTCAGATACGTACAATATATTCCTGCTTCATGTGAGGTCCAGATATTTAGCAGTTCCTTACATTTAGCAGTCCCATAAACTTCCTAAAGGAAGAGATGAGAAGCATTGCTGCTGCCCAGGTGCTCACTTCCATGACAGTCTCTGGCTATCAGATTTTTGTGGAGTCACCAAAGCAGCAGTGTTTACTTTGTCTGTCTTTAACCACATCCCTCAGGAGATGTCACATCCCAGTCAGACATGCCTGAACCAGTCCTTGGAACAAAGGAAAACTATACACATAACCTCCTGCTCTTTAAAGACTGCTGTTAGAGGAAGTAGACCTGGGTAACACTGACTTATTCTGTTGCCTTCAGCAGTCACCATAGCATTTAAATGAGCTATGGCTGTCAAGCCAGATTCCTCTGCTATGTTGTCTCCAAAACAAAGAGCAACGTCTTACAGCCAAAACCATCCACCAACTGAACAGCGTGATTCAATGGTTTTCTCAGTGCTCCAACTTCAGTAAGTGTTTAATAATGAGGGGAAAAGCCTTGCAGGTCATTGCCCTGCGTATCAGAGCTGCCACTTTCAGGTCTAATCCCATCTAAAACTGATGTAGCCACTGTGATCATCCAGCTGATGGAGGAGAAGAAGCAGGTGGACAGAACATCTGAATTTTATACAGCAAAAATGGCAATCATTGTAACATGGCCTAAAACAGCAAAAGAGCAATGAAAACTGTAAAACAGGAAACATTTTCCTTACTGCAAAGCTCTTACAGAGGCAAAGCTCAGCTTTACTAGCTTTTCTGACAGAAACGTGCAAAAACACCAGTCTGTGAGGGAGCCTATGTCAAGCAGCCCTTCCCCAGTCTCCTGACTCCAAAGGCCTCTCTGAACCTCTACCCTGCACCAGAGACCCAAGTCCAGCCTGAAGCACAGGACCTGGACCCTTCCACAGCATGCTCAGGGCAGATGCCAGTCCTGTGCCTCTCAAAGGACAGAACAGTCCTCAAAGCAAAAGCATCATTACATTATGCATGGCAAGTCAAAACATCTTTTTTCGTAATGCAG